ATTTGATGAAGTGAACATGCATGAGGGCCAACCAAAGTTGTTGAACTTTGTTTCCTTGTACTCTTGATGGAGGATAGAGAAACGTGAGAGACAGAGAGAGGAGAGTGTAAACTAACATTCATTGTTCCACTTCTGTCTCTGGCCTGTGCCTCATTGGAAGGTTACCCTGAAGGAAACATGACAATTGAGCTGAAAAAGGTTCCTGCCCCAGTTTAAGTCCTTATTGGTAAGCCTCAGAAACACAGAACTCAGAACTAGATTAAAAGACAGTCAAATCAATCTGATATGTTCCCAGTGACCAGTCTGAGCAGAGTGAGCCCAAGACATTTTTGCCATCTGAGGTGGACATGGTAGTGCCTCATATCTATCCATTCCATGAAGAGAAACTATCAGACAGGCAATGGAATATTATTTCAGTGTTACAGACAGGTCAGAGTCTTTCACTGCATGCACAGTGGGTCAGTTTGTCTGGCTGTTAACCAGAAAGTTGGTAGTTCAAGCCCAACCAGGGGTGGGTGTGGACAGGATTCATGTGATGCAAACAGTTGGACTAGACGACCCTTGGGGTCCTTTCTGTGGGAATGTTCAGAGAGGCAGGAGAGGGTATATTGTTTAATGATATCCCTCCTAACTTGCATTAGCAAGTTCTATATCTAAACATTCCCTTTTTAAACACACAGCGGTTTGCTTGTTGCAGGCTAGTTTTTGTCTCTAAATAAGGATTCCTGGTAAGATCCCTTCTTGTCCCTCTTAAAAAGGAATAAACACGACAATCTTATTAAAGTCAATATAAAAGTAGTTTACTCACATTCATTCAGTTCACAGTTAGATCTCTGGAGGCAGACTTATGTCACAAAGGTATATACACATGTGGAACTATCCCATAAGAAAAACATAGAAAAACAAAATGGAGAAGAACTGAAAGAGCAAGAGGTGTGTTCCCTACCTTGCTCTTGTTCCCAGGCAGTGAGCCTGGGACCACACCCGCCTCTAGTCACATGCAGAGAGAAGTCTGTCTCAGTTCAGGAGGAAACAGGAAGTTTTCTCCTGGCTGGTACAGATCATCTCCTAGCATGTCCTTTCTAGGAATTTGTACTTGACTGCTATGTGTTTCACATCCCACACTTTCCAACTCTACAATTCTATGTAGCAGGCCAGCTTAGAGGATGCTGGGCAGACACACCACTCTGTCCTCAAAAACTTTGCCACGTTTTCTGCCAACCAGCGCCTGCCACCTGGGGGAACCGCTTCACTCTGTCTCATGGTAGAGACAACCCTGAATCCCAGTTAGAAACTTCTCAAGTATTAGTGGGCAGATCCATTGGCAGTGAGAGGGAAGTTGGCAACAGCCGTATGTCCTGTAAATGGAGGAAGCCAAATTCTTCCATGAGCAAATTCAGATCCTGAAGAATGCTGCATTCAGACATGGGGTTTATTTCATTAGGTGGTTTTTGTTTTTTTGTTTTTACTGGTTATAATGCTAGCATTTCTGCCCTGATCTTTAACTTGCCTTTTCCACTGCAGTACCTGCTGAGCTTTGGAACTGTGGCTTTTTGATCAATATACCATCAAGCTGTGCTGAATTTCATTCACATCAGTGGGAGTTGCCCAACACAGCAACAAATGTCATCAGATGTCTCGCCACTCCCCCACCATTTCCACACACACTCACTTCCACCCCCCCCCTTGATTCACCAGGAAATATTTTAAAAATACCATCCACATACCATATACGAGTGGTGGGGGCATGATCCATGAAAATTGTGGGAAACTTACAGCACAAAAATCATGTGATATTCCAGGATTCCAGGGTTGCAAATGGATTTTTTTTCCCTGGAAACAACACAGAAATGAGTGTTACTCTTCCACTAGATTCTGCTAAATTCCCAGAAGTGGCATTTACATCATGCGAAAGATCATATAAAACACAAAAATTAACAGGTCACAAAATGTCAGGAAGATAGAATGAAGCCTTAGAGAAACACTCCAATTTTCTGTGCTAAAAAAACCTTTTTGGGTTTTTTAGTAACTACTGTTGAGTCTTAAGTAATCACAGCATCCTTTTCTAAGTGTTCACAGACCAATTGTTTAATTATCTGTTCTAGGACCTTTCCTGGTATTGACATCAAGCTGACTGGTAGGTAGTTACCTGGGTCTTTTTCCCCCTTTTCTGAAGATGGGAATATTTGCCTGTCTCCAGTCCACAGGGTCCTCATCTGTTCTCCAAAAATTCCCAAAGATTATAGACAGAGACTCTGAGATTACATCCACAGGCTCCCTTGGGTGCAGCTCATCAGGCTCTGGAGATTTGAATTTGTTTAACATAGCTAGTTGTTCCCTTATCACCTCTTTTCCTATTTTGGGCTGCAGCTTCCTCTTTGCATCATTTATTCCATTATCACCAGGTTGGGCACTGCTTTCCTTTTAAGTGAAGACAGAGGCAAAGTAGGCATTCAGTAGTTCTGCCTTCTCTCTATCACCCAATAGCATTGCTCCATCATCTCCATGCAAAGGACATACTACAAACATAGACAAAGGAACTTTTTAAAAAAATGTTTTTAACCTCTCTTGCAAGCCTGAGCTTATTCTGAGCTTTGGTCCACCTGACCTCCTCCCTGAAACTGTTGACTACTCAAGTATCCCCTCATGATTTCTCATTTTCTTCCATTTCTTATACATGCCCTTCTTACATCTCAGCTCATCTGTAAGCTCCTTATGCAGCCACACCAGATTCTTTAGATGCTTCCCCCACAAGGTTCTCTGTACTTTCATTTCAGTGATTTACTTTCATTTCATTAATTTTCTGTGCTATTTTAAGCAGGAGTTGGAATTGCAATGCATCACTCAGTTATGTTTCTCTCTCTCACTTTCCCCCCTATCTATAATGACAAAAATCTCTTCAGTGCATGAAGATCAGCCCTTGGAACCAACAGGTGGGGGCACCGATTGCAGAGGCCTCAAGAGATCTTGTATCCTGGTGTTGCAAAGTAGCCATGCAGTTCAAAGCATTTGAGGGTTTGAAAGTGAGCCAAACAGTCAATCAGATTCTACTTAAACAGCTATAAAAGGAAACGAACAAGGCTAGTGAGGATAAGTGAGGAAGTGAACAGTACTGAATCAGTGCTGTTCTGCATCCCATGCATTCTGCTGGTGTTCCCAAAGAGTGCCATGGAGTCTTTGACATGCAGTAAATTTTGTTAGCATGATCTCCCTTACTCTTTCCTGAGCTGATCTCTGATCTCACCAGACCCACCAAGGCGAGCTGTTTGTAAAGAGCACAGCTTTGCAGCAATGGGGATTGCGAAAACAATCAAGCGCTGGGCTTTTTCTGATGAAGTGGTTCAGCACAAGGCTTGACCAATGCATTACCTAATTCCATAATGCCAGCAGCTGCTCAGAGTGGGAGGAAAATGTGTCAGCATGTTTTTTTACGCACTCGAAGCTGTGATATTAAATCTATCGAGCTCAAAGGGATCACACTTCCAGGGCACCTCTTAAAACATTCTTGGCATATGTGTCTTATTGTACTGCAGTGCTTGGGGGCATGTGGCCCCAGGGGCGGAGGAAGGGGGTGCAGTGGGGGCAGTCTGCCCCACATGTCATCACTGAGGGGGGTGACAAAATGCCGGGCAGCACTCACTGCGTGGCCTGCAGCGCGTCCAAACCACGCATCTCTCCTGGGAGTGATGTGGTGGTTTGGGCACACACAGGTTCCACGCTGCCCCAAATGGTCCGCCCGCTGCTTCCCCCTTAGCTGTGGGGGGGGGGAGGCTGAGTGGGAGGAGGCAAGCAGATGCCTCGGAGGCCCTGCAGAGTGTCCTGCCCCAGCTGGCCCCACCCCCAGGCATCTGATCAGCTTGCTCCGCCGCTGTGGCCATCCCACCTCTGCGGAAAAACCTTCAAGGAAAGAAAGCCTACTGCCTTCTGAGGGATTCCTTCCCACTGTCACACAGCTCTTACTGTCAGAAAGTTCTTCCTGAAGTTGAGTCGGAATCTCCTTTCTTGTAACTTGAAGCCATGGCTTCAGGTCCTGAGCACCTCTGGAGCAGGAGAAAACAAGCTCCCTCACGGCTCCCTCTGATGGCCCTTGAGATATTGACAGGACTGCATGGTGTGGCTCTCAGATCAATGTCCCGAGACAGAGAGGACAAACTGTTTTTCTCTCCCCTATCTCCACCCCATGCAGAATTGCAAGGGGTCTGTGCATCTGGCTGGTAAGAAGATGGTCAGAGGTTGGAGCCCAGCCAGGGCTGGCTGTGGGCAGGTTCCTGGCATTGCTGGGGGTTTGACTAGATGACCCTTTTGATCCCTTCCAACTCTGCCATGCTATGATTCTATCAAACAGCTAAAGGAACAGGTGGAGGAGCAAGATGCAGAACAAGGATGTCAGCAGCACTTAAAACGCACAAATCCGGCTAATTAAAAAGGGTGATTTATTGCAAAGAACAAACAGAAAGTCCTGTAGCTTGTTCCCGTGCAGCCTCCATAACAGCCTAAGATGATTCAACTGGGCTCTGGTTTCCCTTTCTCTTACTACAGAAGAAGCAACGGGAAGTACGTCTTCTTCTTGCACTGCTTCTCTCTCTGTCTGTCTTGTAGGCCTCCCCTGCAGCGAAGTCTGTGCCTGATTGGTTCAGATTCCCTTTCTGACAAGCTGTCACCTTCTGCAGGTTCCCTCGCTCTATCACCCGACCCTACTACACCTAGTTCCTGTCTGCTTGTTTCCCTGGCAACCTGCATTCCATTCTCTCCCTCCTCCCTCTCTTCAGCCTCTGCTAGAATGTGCTCTTCAGACAGCGGCAGATTCTTATATGAAGGTTCTTCAATCCTGACATCAGCACACCCTGGCCTGACCCACGTTGGCTTCATCCCAGCACCCTTTGATCCTGTTGGTTTTATTTTTCTTAATTCAGCTCCCTGACAACCCAGCAGCCACCCAGCAGCTGTTTGCCAGATGATGTCACAAAGTGCCACTTTGCAAGCAAGCCTTATAGTGCCCTGCAAGAGTGATGCCTGTCAGATGATGGTGAGATTCTTGCCAGGATACTTGCCCATCACTCAGCATGAATAGGAACTGTGAAGGTAGGAGGATCCTGAGGCCCACAGGAGGGGAGTGGCATAGAAATATTATTATTATTATTATTAGCATCATCCTTCACTGGTGCATGTGACTTGGCTAACTGGCTTGACTTGTTCACAGCTGTTGATAGCTTGGCAGATCCTCAGCTGTGGTCCCCAGATTATATTTACTGTTGTGAATATCTGGTTGGTTACTAGGTTGAACAATATGGCCTTTCTGTGCCTCTATTCTCTTAACTCTAAGGCTGTGTACACATCACACCTTGAAGTCATGGGGTCATTCCATTAAATGTCAACCTACAGACTCATCATTCCCAAACATGTTCTAGTTCATTTTCAAGAGAATTTCCCAAAGTTTCAAGATCTTGTCACTGTGTGAATTGGTTTTAACAGGTAGAAGAGTATACGTTAATGGAAATTTATCCCTCCAGATACCCACAAATGTGAGATTAACAGAGGTTTAAAATCCCCTCCTTGACAGCAAAACTGAAAGCTTAGGAATTTGGCTGCAAAACCTTGTTTGTTTGTTTTTTAAATGATATTTATTGAATTTTTTTTTTTAAATTACAGAAAAAGACAAAGCAGAGAAAGAAAAGGAAAAAAAAAAAACAAGCCACATCCAACAATACAAATTCAAAAAACAAAAATACACCACAAACAGATAAAAATAAAACCATCATTCTCAAATCTTCAACTTTCATTACCTTCTTTCTTTGACCTCCTCCTCCTCCCTTTTTTGTATCCCAGTTAATAATTATCGCAGCAAATCCTTTCCATATTTCATAATATTCTGTCATTGCATTACCTTAATCTATTTTCATCTTATCTTATAAAAAACCTTAAAACTTAAAACTTAAATCTCATTTTTACCCACTTCTCATAACCATAATATTCTTGCCTACTTCTTTAAACATTTTTGCTAGAGCCAAGTAATTTCGTTCCAACATTTTTCTAACAGTCATCAATTTTATAAAACAATCCTAGTGATAAAAAAAAGAAATATAAACAATCCAATCTTCATCCAGCGTCCCTTCCTCCTGGTCCCGGGTTTTGTCAGTCCTTTTTATCCCATCGATCTAGCGCATTAACCTGGTAACCTTATATCCGAGGCCCTTAAGTCTCTTCCATGTCCCTTCCGCAGCTCTTCTTCATATTCACCTTTCACTCTTGGGAACTCCAGCTTGGTAATGTTTTTGACCCTTTTCAACAAATCAGCCCCCTTTCCATAGTCCAGACTAAACTCCATGTGGTATTTAAAAACATGTTTCAGAATCCCTCCCAAATTGAGAGCCCCCACAGCTCCAAACATCTCACAGCCCATTGCCAGACTCGGAAAGTCCAAACATCCCCGCATAGGGGAGTCTATCCAACCCCCCATTTCCAAACCAGTCCAAACTTTATCTTTCCTAATCTGGCTTTTTCCAAGTTCATTTGTCAAATCCAAAATCTCATGTTCCTGCTGGGCCGCAGCTCCCTCCATCTCTGGCACCCAAGATTCCGCAACATCCTCTTCTCTCATCTGTTCTGTCAGGGCACACTCCTGATTTAATTCCTGGGTGGGCTCCATATAGTTTCCCACTGCCTGTTCAAAAATTCTGACCGCATTAGTCATCAAATCCGTCTTCTCAGTTAACTGTTCCAGTAAAGCATTTGTTTTGCAGAGAGCACACAACAGAGCTTCTGAATACATTGTCCTACAAGGTCACAAGCCTATTCCCACGATTGTAATCTGTGACAGCTGCAAGCTCCCTGGAATTAGTTACAGTTTCCCAGTCTCCCTCTAGGGGAAAACTTCTATTTGTTCTTGCAACAAAGTTTCCCTTTTTGAGATATTTTGTCAATATTTGTTCCTTTAAAATGCGAAAGGAAACAGTGGAATCACTATGTTTCTCTTCTTTTAGCTATCTGTCAAAAACGTTTGTCTCTGGTCAATGAGCTTCAAACGTCAGTCCTGACACCCCGCTCCAAGATCAGGACGGTGGAAAGTTACTTTACTTTAAACTCACTTCTGCAGGTTTAAACAGTCCGAAAAAGATCCCCCTTCTTCTCCTGCTCCCGAAGGGGGGTTTGAGGATTTTAAATGATGAAAGCCAATCCTTTAGAAGCGATTTTCTGAGCCCTAGTTTACGTTGTCTTTGCTTTATTCTGTCTACAAAGAAACGGAAGGCTGACTTCCTGTTTAGACTTTCCCGTTTCAGTACCAAATTGAAGTAAATTTTTAAGTCCAATTCCTTTCTGCTCGCAAGTCCTTATTTAAAGTCCAATTGTTCAAAGTTTAAGTACTCACGGGTGCTTATTTTAGAAGCCAAATTGTCCCAGGAAAAAGGCAGCGCTCTCCAGCAACGGCTATGCGGCTTCGCTCCACGGAAATAGCAATTGACTCACAGCACCGCGCCACTTCCCCCTCTTCGTTTCGGAGCCCGTTAGTGGGTTCCTTTGTGGGTTGGGGGGGCGCTAAGGGTGCCCGCCGAGTCCCATGGTCACAGGTTTCATCCGCCTGTGATTTTTAAAAGGGTCCCTGCTTCGCCGTAGCGAAAAAGACCCGTTTCGCACGGAGCTAGTCCCTCCAGTTCAGAGGGAGTCCGCCATTGCCAATGGCGCCACCCCGGAAGTCTGCAAAACCTTGTTTGGAGGAAGTCCAGCTATGAAGTCAACTGCCCACTTCAGAAAGAATCAGACCACAAGCTGAGAAGTTTAAAAAATAAGCCTTCCTTACTTTATTATCATACACTGGTTCATAGCAACAGTAGCAGTAAAAGCTATGCAGGCAAAATACTGTTATGGATTTGCAGAGGACACCCCTAAATCCCAGAGATTAATAAATGGTAGGATTTTGATGATCTGGAGCATTGAAGGGAGGATTGGAAGTCAGTGGGAAAGTACAGGGTCAGATTTATTTCCAAGTCAGGGCCTCACCTGATATAGAGACAGGAACATGCCAAAAGGGGTCGATGGCCCATTGGATAGCCTGGGAGAGATGCCTGGGACTCCAGGGCTTCCCTGCTGTGGGGGACAAGCCCCTCCTGACAGGACCATGCTGTCAGATGCAGGCTCCCTCCATGCAGACGGAAAGTGCAAATGGGTGAACAAACCGTCTTTCTTAGAGCTATGACATTCTCTGCCGTGTCTCCGCTCTCCAAAGGAACACGGATCTTGGGTGACTGCCTGGACCCCCCTGGCATCTTGCAGAGTGTAGGGGTGGCACCCAACTTCTGTAACAATTCTGATATTTATGTGATAACCAACCCCAGGCACCTGCGGAAGAGGCATGTCTGCATCCTACAAGGGTCCAAGGAAATGAGAGGGGAACACAGTATGCTTCTTTCTCTCAAGGAGAGCAGGGGAAAGGACCACACAAAGAGACCTCTCCGCCAATTGCATTTCTAAGGTCTGAATCCCTGTTCAGTATCAGTATCAGTGTCAGTAATGCAGCCCTGCAGACTTAGCCCCTTTTCATGCTGCAGGAGCCCTAAATCAGGGGTCAGCAACATTTTTCAGCTGTGGGGTGGTCCACTGTCCCTCAGACCATGTGTTGGACTGGACTATATTTTGAGGGGGGAAATGCACAAATTCCTATGCCCCACAAATAACCCAGAGATGCATTTTAAATAAAAGGACATATTCTACTCATGTAAAAACACACTGATTCCCAGACTGTCCGCAGGCTGGATTGAAAAGGCGGTTGGGCCGCATCCGGCCCACGGGCCTCAGGTTGCCTACCCCTGCCCTAAATGGATGGTGTGTACACAGCCTTTGTTTTTAAGGTAAAGGCGTCTAGCGGGCTTCAGCTTGCACAGGGCAGCAGCCTAGTGAGATTTCTTTTGTATTCTTTGCACCATTGCTGCATGTGACCCTTGAGAAACAGGTCCCTGCCCCAAGGGGCTTACAATCTTTAATTTGACACAGGGAGGGAACCAGGAAAGGTTGAGGTCCAGGGTGGATCCTGAGTCCTGCTGCGAGACATAAGCCAGGTTCTCTGCCTTTAGATTTTGAGATTCCCAGACATTTCCCATCTGTAACCTCTTCCTCTGTTTTTGCAATATGGTAATTGAGGTGATGCTATTAGAATTCCTAAGGGAATGTCAAACAGGGAGGGAGGGGGAAGGGAGAGAGAGGGGAATTCTGGTGCAGACGGAAGATTGGAGGACGTTTGGAAAGGGAAGTGTGAATGTTGGGGTGAGGCAGGTGAGAGTCGGTTGAGAGCGGTGGGTTCTAGAAGGGGGCACATAAGAACAGCCTGCTGGATCATGCCAATGGACCATCTAGTCTAGCATCCTTTTCTCAGATTCTTGTGAGAAACCAGCACACAGGATTCGAGCACAATAGCACTGTCCTCTTCTGAAGCTTCCGGTGACTGGTTTTCAGAGGCATTACTGCCTCCATCTTTGAAGGCAGAGCATAGCAGTTATGTAATAGCCGCCAATGGCCTTTGCCTTCATGAAGTTGCCTCACCCTCTTTTAAAGCCAGCTAGGTTGATGGTCATCACTACCTCCTGTACTGTAGGAGCGACTTCCATAGCTTAACTATGCATTCCGAGAAGAAGCACTTTCTTTTGTCTTGAAGATTTCCTGACTCTTCCAGCTTTCAGCTTCACTGGATGTCCATGAGTTCTATTATTATGAGACAGGGAGAAAACAACTCCCCAAATTCCTGACCATTGGCCATACTAGCTGGGAAGAGGGCTTGACTGTTAAACCACTCTGCAAATTACAGCTCTGGAATGTTGTTGTTGTTTAGTCGTTTAATTGTGTCCGACTCTTCGTGACCCCATGGACCAGAGCACGCCAGGCACTCATGTCTTCCACTGCCTCCCGCAGTTTGGTCAAACTCATGCTGGTAGCTTCGAGAACACTGTCCAGCCATCTCGTCCTTGGTCGTCCCCTTCTCCTTGTGCCCTCCATCTTTCCCAGCATCAGGGTCTTTTCCAGGGAGTCTTCTCTTCTCATGAGGTGGCCAAAGTATTGGAGCCTCAGCTTCAGGATCTGTCCTTCCAGTGAGCAGTCAGGGCTTATTTCCTTCAGAATGGAGAGGTTTGATCATCTTGCAGTCCATGGGACTCCTAAGAGTCTCCTCCAGCACCATAATTCAAAAGCATCAATTCTTTGGCGATCAGCCTTCTTTATGGTCCAGCTCTCACTTCCATACATCACTACTGGGAAAACCATAGCTTTAACTATACGGACCTTTGTTGGCAAGATGATGTCTCTGCTTTTAAAGATGCTGTCTAGGTTTGTCATTGCTTTTCTCCCAAGAAGCAGGCGCCTTTTAATTTCGCAGCTGCTGTCACCATCTGCAGTGATCATGGAGCCCAAGAAAGTAAAATCTCTCACTGCTCTGGAATAGGGGTCTTCAAACAACTCTGAACCAAACCACAGCTCCAATAATTCTTTTGGGGAAGCCATGACCATTTAAAGTTGTATCATAGTGTAGCGTGAATGAAGTCCCACAGGGCTGCATTTGGACCCTGGACATGAAGTTTCACACTTCATGTTTAGAGATGTGGTTGGTGCTGTTCATTTCCTTTTCTTTTTGGGAGTTGACTCTGCCTTCTGCCTATGAGCTTTACTATTTAAAAACTGCAAGAGCTTCTACTAGTTGAGGACGACCCAAATGACGTCAAAGGCAGAACAAGATTACCACGCCTAAATGGGACATGTGTTCTTCTAATTAGAAAATGTAATCACCTCAGGCAC